CTAAGCGAGGATGCGATCCATTTCTAGATTGGTTCTTGTTAAATCACACGATCATCCATCGGTAGGCAATTGAAGGCTGGTTGGTTGACCATTGTTTATTGCTATCCATACCCTACATACATGCACACGACATGTCCCTCCATGATCGTACATCTTCAAATCATTCAACCGAGTTGCCATGATCCGAACGAAGGTATGCCAAGGAAAGAAAAAGCCAAAAATGTTAAAAGCATTTAATGATCGACAAAGCAGCGAAATAAAGCAAGGCATAATCCGAAAATTGAAAACAACTAAAGAGCTGATCAAGATATATGATGGGGGAGCAAACATGAATATGTTCCTTATTGATTCAAAAAAAAGAAGAAAAAAATTTAAATGGTATAATAAATGTTGAAATACCTTTAGGTAAAACATTCAAAACATCTTTATAAACAATATTCTTGACATAACCATGTTGAGTATCGGTATCACCAATTGTGATTATTTTGAGACCATTTTTAGAAGTGACTCTAGAAACAACAACATATAGTCGTCCATGTGTGAAGACTTAGTCAATCAAGAAAACTCCAACCTTTTTAGAGATTGTCCTTGACTTTTGTTAACTCGTCATCGCATAATATGGTCCGATGGGAAACCGGTGACGTTTGAGAGTGAATGGTCATTTAGTTTCGTGATCGAGAAAAAAATTCTCGGTATGAAAACTCCGAGCACCTATATTATTGCCGGTTATAATTCGTGCTTCAATGAATCGATTTACAAGTTGCATGATTATAAGCCTTGTTCCATTGCATAAACCACATGATTGATTAATGTTTCGCAACAACATTATGGGCATGCCAATTTTCAAGGAAAGATTATGTGAAGGCACTCCATTAAACTCAAGTTGGTTTATGAATTCAATCGGATATAAAAGGTCAAGATTTTTAAAATTCGATGCGAGCTAAATATGGAATCGGTGCTTAAATATGTTCGTTTTTCACTAGGTATATGATCGAGGACATAATCATTAATGTCTCGAACAATATTATTTTTAGGTGTGATTATAGCCCTTTCCCTAAAATAATCATCCCACATTGTGCATTGGGCGAATTCTGGGTAGATTGCAAAAACAATGCAATCAATTGGTTCCCTAATAACTGGAATGAGGAATTCATGCGGTATTTTAATGAATGAAACATCATCGTCATCGAAATTAGGAAGGTCAAAAATCATGCCTTCTCCAATTTTAAGAATCCAATCGGCGAAATTTTTTAGTGCAAACCTTTCCTCATGATTGAGGCCTTCATTTCATAGGCGCATGTTCTTTTTCAAAGTAAAGACCTTGAATTTTGACCAAAGAAATGAACTACTGAGAGAAGCACGAACAATTTCTTCCCTTGTCCCACCAGGAATAACAGGCAAGATTTGGCGAAAATCTCTACCAAGAAGAATAGTTTTTCCTCCAAATGGATGACTTGTATGTTATTATCTGATTTAATAAGAACATCGCATAGAGTTCTATCAAGAGCTTCGAAGCAACTTCGATTATTCATTGAAGCCTCGTCCCACACAATAAGCAATACTTTTTGAAGCAAGCTAGATAGGTGAGTGTTTTTCTTATGTTGCGTGTCCCATTTTCATCAAGGCTAAGGGGAATCTTGAATCTAGAATGAGCAGTTCTACCTCCAGGGAGCAACAATGATGCAATGCCAGAAGATGCAATAGCAAGAACAATGAGACTTTCAGAACGTATTTTGTTAATTATAGTGTGCCAAAGGAATGTTTTATCAGTGACTCCATGGCCATGAACAAAGAATAGATTACCTTTTTTATTAACAACTGAATCAATTATCGAAGCATAAATGTCTTGTTGTTTAGCGTTCAATTTTGCAACTGATGACCAATGTTGTTTTCTAAGATCATCAATATCATAATCGAGTTCTTCTCTTAAGAGCTTGTTTTTAATTTCAGACATGAGTGTTTCATCAAGCATCAGAAGATTATGTTAAACTAAAGAGGTAGATGCTGTATTGAACAAAATCTCAAGCTCATAGAAAATATAATTTTGTAATTCAGAATTTGATATATGAAGATTCGGCAATGCAAATGCACTTTTAAGCTTTGAGAGGATGTCATCATACATGTACTACCAGTATCTATAAAAGAACTATTTAGGATCAGTAAGACCACAAAACAAAACCATACTGACAAATAACTACCTTAATTGGAAAGAGGAAGTTGTCACCACTGCCTCATCAAAAACCTCATTCAACTCTCTATCATCACCCAAAAGACCAAGTGCATCGCAAACAGCTTGAAAAGTTAGATGAACAATTCCACAAACTGTCTTTATACTATCAAAGTTTACAAGGCCTTTCATATGATTCAATAAAATCCACAGAAAATAGAGTTCATCAGCAGTAGGATGAATATAGGCAATTCTACCAACACTCCGACCTCGAGACCTTAGAGACCATTCTTTATTTTTAGCATCCCATACATAAGCAGACGAAATCTGCGAGTAATAAAGCATGCGAGCAACAGGGTCGGTTCTATTAATGTTAAACCACTTTGTTAACATAGTTTTATCAATTCCAAGCCTATTGATGACTGAGGATAAACGATCATCTTTAGAGAAAACAACAAATTGTTGTTGTGGTAAATGCACTGATAAGCGTTCAACTGGACGGTCCCTAAAGTGGATGGGAAATTGGAAAATACGCCATATAGCCTCATATGGATAGATAAAATGATAATTTAAGTAGGCTTGTATTTCATTGGCATCCTCCTTCTCAACAACCAACTTAGCCCTATCTATGTCCTTGCTAACATATTTGCACAGATATTTTATAAGCATTGACTGACAGCAAATCTCAATATTAATATGAGCTTTGTATCTCAGAAGCAATTCTCTATTATAAGGAACAACAAAGTCATTATCGAACCTAATCCCATTCTTTATAACAAAGCACGATGGATCATCTCGGCATTTATAAGAAACAAATCCATTATCATCGAATACTGTGGAGGTCCGAAATTTTTTGAGAAAGCATTTCGAACATCGACCAAGTTTCATGCAAGCAGCATTTAGATTGACAATGCCACATAGACCATGTAACTTAAATTGTGATACTATTTCATAGCAATTGGGATCTTGATCTTTATCAGGTATTTCAGTAGATACGATAGAGTCAACATCTTCAGCTGAACGACACTTTAATTCTGGACCAAGCCATATCAAGAGATGGCTATGAGGCAGCCCTCGTTTTTTAAACTCAACGGCATAAACATCTAATAGGGAAAAGATTAGATGTTTATAAAAGAGTTTTAGGAGAAAACCTAATGATCGAAATAGAAAAAAGGAATTGAAACGTTACATTGATTCATACAAACTATTGTTTGACCGAATGGTCTACCAGATTTAATAAATGAGATCATATCATCAAGCTTGGTCTTGAACACTCGAGTTATGATATCTGGTCTATCCTTTGGTTTGTAATGTTTATTTTTTCTAAGCTCTCTTCTGATTTCAGGCCAGCCAACATTACATGTAAAGGTTATAAAAAGATGTGGATTACCATAAGCTCTACAAATAGCCATAGCATCTTGATAATTATTGATCATCTACCTAACACTTTCGGTAAGAGAGGAAGGTACCAAAATTCTTTCAGTATCAGAAGCATTAGTGTCGCCTCTTAAAACAACATCACAAATCCCCTTATACTGTTCACTTTTTAGATTTTTTTGGTTTTCTCTAGTGTAATCAAGGTGATCTTCTTCAATAGTTACAAAAGCATTAACCTAGCATCTTCATCAATTTTTTCATGCAGATAGTATGCATAGTAAGCCCTGATAAGAACACGTTATCTTTTCAAGACTGAGCCACGAAAATTGCTATTCCATTTTAAATTAATACGATAACCATCCTCCTTAAAAGGGGAAAAAAGGGGATATTGCAGAGACATGTATTTAGGATGCAATTTAGAAATTCTTTGAAGCGAACCAGATTTGATTTCAACTAAAATATCTCTTTCAGAAAAGAATTCACCTATATCTTTAACAACCAACCCTCCAATATCATCAGATGTTGGCAAATCAAACTAACGTTCATCGTAATCTTTCCTTCCAAGTAGACGCAATCTATAACTGACGTCACTTTGGTTGGATATTCTTTCTTTCGCCATTCGAAATAGTTTCACCAACGAATTAGTTGAATCAAGTAGCTCGATCAAGTTTTTTACAACATCTTCATCAAGAACCTGGCTATTGAAATATGCCAAGTGCATTCAATCGATTGACCACCTCATTTTATGTGTCATATACATAAAGCTGAGCAAACTTCAAAGCCTCACCGTCGATAGGCAGAAGAGAGCTCATTAGATGGTGAACTTGCCCACTAATTTTGAAGACATAAGATCCAGGTTGATTATTAACGGAGGTATCAAGTTTTGCACCCATTGATATGAAAGCAAACATTGAGTTGTAAGCTCTGATGTTCTCTTTAAATTTATTTGATGAAGAACCTTCAGTTGAATCAAGCATTCTATCAAGTATGTGAGGAGTGGGTTGGGAGGCGCTAAATTTTACTTTGATGTGTTCTATCAAGTATGTGAGGAGTGGGTTGGGAGGCATTCTATCAACATAGTGAGAATTTTAGCCTAGACACTGAGATGATTTAAGGTGTTCTTTCAACCAAAAAAGAGCATTAGAATGTTCGTATTGATGTGTTTTATGGCCAAAAGCAACATATCCATCATCGCGCCCTAATCAATAGGAAAAAAGGAAATTCAATCTAAGAAAAAAGAATCAAGAATAAACATTTTCAATCAGATGAAGTTTTCTGGAATGATGGAAAACTCACTTTTTCTTTTTCTTTGGTAAGATATCTGGGTAGGCAGACAAAAAGAGTTTGTGGCAGCAAATAAATTTGTAGGAGGCATACCAAGGTGTTCAGAGGGATCAGTTGGCTCAAACGATGATTGCAAAGCTTCCTCAACTTCTAAAGAAATAGGGAGGATCGGTTAAGAACCACCAACAACCAATCTTTTAGAGTCAACATTTCTAAAATTCTGATGAGGTAAGTCAGAATATAAATGACGTTTAACAAGAAGCACGTCATTAATGCAAGATGGTGATGCACCGGGGGAAGGTATGCATCCAAAATCAAATGCAATTGCATCAAGCCGAGTGGTATGACGATGACTTGTTTCAAACCTATGGCCTAACACATCAATAGGAAGGTCAAAGTCGGCGCTTTGATATATAGAGGATGCATTCTGGTTTTGACTGAATAATGTGTCGTCAGAGATCGAATAATCACAGAAGGATGTGTATCGACTAAAAGAAGAAGGTGTTGTATCAGAAGTAGGCAAGGTATCAAGTGGGAAGCCAATTTCTGTGCATTGACCAGCTGAAAACATAGGATTTATAGCAGAAGAACGAGATCTGCCTCGTCTACCACGGTTTGACCGCCTATAAGAAGACGATGCAGACATAGCGACAATTGATCCAAAACGTGATGAAAGGATAAATGGTGAATAAAGGATGAATCGTAAAAGACCGTCCTAGTGTGTCGTTTAGAAAAATGAAAAATGTAAGGCAAAAAAACTAAAAACGAACAAATAATAATAGATGTCAAATGTCATATATTTGTCATTCATTATTTCTAAACGAAGAGGATAAAAAAGGCAAGCAACATTGTTCCCCTCCCCCTCCCCCCCCCCCCCCGGGGGAAGGTATGCATCAAGCCGAGTGGTATGACGATGACTTGTTTCAAACCTATGGCCTAACACATCAATAGGAAGGTCAAAGTCGGCGCTTTGATATATAGAGGATGCATTCTGGTTTTGACTGAATAATGTGTCGTCAGAGATCGAATAATCACAGAAGGATGTGTATCGACTAAAAGAAGAAGGTGTTGTATCAGAAGTAGGCAAGGTATCAAGTGGGAAGCCAATTTCTGTGCATTGACCAGCTGAAAACATAGGATTTATAGCAGAAGAACGAGATCTGCCTCGTCTACCACGGTTTGACCGCCTATAAGAAGACGATGCAGACATAGCGACAATTGATCCAAAACGTGATGAAAGGATAAATGGTGAATAAAGGATGAATCGTAAAAGACCGTCCTAGTGTGTCGTTTAGAAAAATGAAAAATGTAAGGCAAAAAAACTAAAAACGAACAAATAATAATAGATGTCAAATGTCATATATTTGTCATTCATTATTTCTAAACGAAGAGGATAAAAAAGGCAAGCAACATTGTTCCCCTCCCCCTCCCCCCCCCCCCCCCCCAAAACAATCACACAGTTAATAGGGAAGAGTAAGAAAAAACCAAAGCTATTTTTTTTCTTAAGAGATAATATATCTTTATAAAGGAAGGCTTATTTCCATTTGGTGTTTTACTATAACCCTAGGAATTTTATTCTTAATTCTATAGGCTATGCTTCTACCAAAACCGTTTGTTTATGTTTGATAGAGGAAGGGGAAAAATTCACAAATGCGATTAACAAATGATAACACCAACAATACTAAAAGCTAATCCAACATGCATCGTTTTAATAAAGTTTTTAATCTTTTAACAATTGTATAATGCTTATTGATTTGATACATGAAGGCCTATTTTTAACATAAAAAATACAAGATTTTGTTAACTGGGTGCATACTTATAAGAACCTTAACCCAAGATTTTTTCAGTTGACACACATGATGTGCTCTGCATTTACTTACAAAAGCATTTCAATGGCAACATGTTGTTTTTTTGTATCTTAGAATATATAGTACTAAAAATATTATTTTGAAGTAAATGTGGGTTTTTTTCATTTATTTCGGCACATGCATTTCCTAAAATACTTAATTCTGGTATTTTTTTTTTTTTTTACATATTACAGTGTCAACAGCTTATAAAAATACATCAACTAAGGCTTATCGTAATACTTTGCTGCACATCAATGCTTTATTAAGAGGATTAACGACTTAATTTATTATAATAGTCCTCATTAAGTATACAACATAAAAATGGCAAAACTATAGATCTACCATAATTATCTGGCTTGATAGTGTATAAGAAATAGCAGCATCAGTAATGTTTCGTAAAGGTACAGGGAAAAAATGAAAAATGTCATAGCCAATGGTAAAATCAATAACAGAAACAACTAATCAAAACCTATGCAGTGTCTTAATTTGGATAGATTTGGGAAAAGTTTTTCCTTTCTCTGTTCGAGGATGTATATTGTTAAAAATATTCAATTTTCATATGAATTCATTTTATATATATATATATATATGACAATCTGATTTTTTGAAAAGACATTGTTTTCATGAGAAACAGGGTTTTTTGTTTATTTTTGAAAACAAAAATTTTTTAAAACATTTTATCAGAGTTCTATCATAAAGTTTTAGTACAGTACTTATAGGTTATTAAGTGGAGATATTTTTTTTAGAAGAACAGTTCTGTATATTGTTCATTTTTTGTTAGCTCTACAGCCTAAAACACTTAAGGCGTTAAACAATAATAATTATTGAATGAATTTTGTTAACTTAGCTAAGCATAGAGTGTATAAGAAAACCAGCAGCAAGAATGCTTGACAAAGGTACAATCAAATGTTGAGTTGACTAATTTAGTTTTGGTAGAATGTTTTTCTCAACTATTAATGCTCTCACTCAAAGGCTGCATACATTTTGTAATCTATTACTGGAGCAAAAAACAAAAAATCATGCAATAGAATGCGACAAATTCCACTCAATCAATGGCGAGGAAAAGGATCCAAAAAGATAAAAGCAAAACCAGACAAAACATAAGGCACGTCATAGCAAGAAATCATTCTCAAGCATAACTGATTAAGGGAAGAAAAAATGCCACAACAGAATCAAAGGGGGGGGGAAGGCGATGAAGAAAGCTCACTTGTTAGTTCTGATGAAGAAAGGAAAACCTCCGAAGCACTGGAAACTAGAGCTATGCAATAAAGAAACGAAACCGATCTTGGATGAAAATAGGGAAAAAAGAAGAATGGAAAAGCTTTTAAAGCAAGGATACAAAAATAACTATAAGTTTTCAAAAAAGCAGAGCTTGAGAGGTCTCAAAACATATAAGCTAAAACAATTTCAGCCAACAACGAAGCTTTATAGATGGAAAAAGACAACTACAACCCTTTTTTTCTATTGGTTTTATGTAAGACGATACAGAGATGAAAAGACCAGAATCTGTAAAAAAAAAAAGACTAATAATAGTTTAATTATAGTTATAGCAAATTGTAGCTATAACATGCAAAAATTTCTTGCTTGGCAAACAATAAGGTCATTAAAACATCTAAGCAGTGTTGTCATCAATGGCAGGCCAACGAGGCAACATCTATAATCCAAGCAGGAAATAGGGAAAGCAACACACAACAACCAAACATGAAAAAAAAGGGAAAAAAATTCCATTCTCCTATATCTACAATGATGACTTATACCAAATGTTGCAAAGTGAATGAATCATAGAAGAGGTCAATCAAGAGAAAGAATCCAATAAGTTAGTTGATGCGGACCATTAAATGGTGTGTGAAATGGTGTGAAACAAGGTACATGCCTATCATCAAAAGAGGCAGCAGTAAAAGAAAGTGGAAAAGTGCATCACAAAAGCAAAGTGCCATGCATGAAGAGAAAAAGTGGGGGCGGAAAACTATAATAAGAAAGGCAACAAAGAAGCAAAAACCTGCTAGTTTCGATGAAGAAGAGAATGACTTCCAAGTGAGGACAGATAGAGTTGCATAATCCAAAAACACCAAGGAGCTTGTTAGTTCAAAGGGCAACAACAATACTCGATCGAAAACAGCAAGTTTAATTACAATAACAATAAAAAATCAAATCAGCAGCAAACGGGCCAAAGCTTTTATAGGACATGGAAAAAATAAAATCAAATATCATAAGATGTGCTGACAAAAGTCCATAAAGAAAAGAAGATAAAAAAAAAAAACCAACTAGCAAATCACATAGCAAATGCTCAAAAGAATTTGAACCAAAAACAAATTAAAAAGAATCTGTGTTCTTCGGCGTGAGCAACTGACAATCATAAGGGAAGAAAGAATAAACCAATAAGGGCATCACGAATAGTGGTTCTCATAGAAGGACAACAAATGGAAAAATAAAACAAAGTGACATTAAAACAATTCAATATAAACATAATGGTTAACAATCAGTTCCATGGAACAGAGAATACGTGCTAAAAGGCTCTTTAAAAAAAAAAAAAAAAGCACTTGCGACCATGAGTCCCATATTCAAGACTGGCAGTTTTTTTTTTCATTGGCAAAACATGCATAAAATGAGTAGGCGTGAAATTTAAAAAAAGCAACAGTTCAATTGGTGTAATAGCAAGCAAAAGGTTCATGCCCAGAAACAAATAACATGGGTTTCAACTTCTAAGTTGCAGCTATCATAAGCAGGAGTCCAAATTTTTCCAACATATCAACCGCATTTAACATAAAAGAAGAAAATAGTTGGTTTATAACAATGGGAAAAAAAAACAAATCTTTTAGGAAAAATATAATTTTTTACATGAGTGACAGCTAATCTTTTAGGCATCTAATATATATATATATATATCTTGAAAGAAGCTATCTTGATTACTGCTCTAGATAAGCACGTGCAAGTAATCAAGCCTTTAATTAAAAAGAATGCCTAATCAATTAGCAAAGATGAACAGATAAAAAGCTCTGAATTAATTGAACGATTTTTAAATCAACTTCTGTAAAAGCATAGTCAAAACCAGTGAAGTTAAAGCAATAACATAGGACAAAAGCATTATAATCAAGGACTGATTTGAGGAAAAAACCATCTCCCAACAGCTACAAAAGAAACAAAAAACTAACCAAGGAAATTCACTGGTCAAGCTTGATTAAAGAAGGAAAACCCCTGAGGCATTGTAACTTGAAACTGCACAAACAAAAAGCCAAACGAAGCAATTAGTCAAAGCCGAAGCAGCACATGGAAAAAAAAAAAACAAAGGCAAAGCGAAGCAACATGGATCACAAACAATTCTTAATTGTAGCATCACACAAATTGCCAAACAATGGAAAGTGCTAATTATGTGCCTAACTCATGCATATTATATCTCTTACCTTGTTATGACTTATAAAGATAAATTTGTCTGATGTTCAATGATTTATTTATTTTAATTAATAATAAATGTTTGACATTCTGAGAAATGTCAAATCATTATATATATATGCAATGTAGCTATCTTGAGAATTTTTCCAGATCAGTAGTCGCACATAATTGAATGCCTAACTAATCAAAAGTGATGAACACATCAAAAGCTCTGAAATCTTTGAATGATCAAGAAAGCAACATGTCTAAAAGAAAAGACAAAAGCTGGAAAAGTGTAAGCAATAACATAGCAAAAAAGCATCATAATCAACGACTAATTCGAGGCAAAAATCATCTCCCAATAGCTTCAACCAAAATAAAAAATCGACCAAGAAAATTCACTTGTCAGCGTTGATGAAAGAAGCAAAACCCCCAGCACTGTAACTTGGAACTGTACAAACAAAAAAACCAAAAGTAGCAATTAGTCAAAGAGGAAATTGCACACAGCAAGAAACAAGAAAAGCGAACTGAAGCAGCGTTGTTCACAAAAAATTCTTAGTTGTAGAATAACTCAAATTGCCAAGCAATAGAAAAAAAGAACATACCAAGAAATTGCCAGCTTTCTTTAAAAACCTTCAATGGGAAAGCATTAATCACATGCCTAACTCGCACATATTATATCTCTCATCTAATTATGACTTATAGCAAATTAACTTCTCTGCTGTTCAATGTTTTCTTAATTAAAGTTAATAATAAAGGTCCTGAATTCTCAGAAATGTAAGATCATTATATATGTATATATATATATATATATATATATATATATATATATATATGTAAAGCAGTTATCTTGATCATCCTTCCAGATCAGCATGTGCAAGCAATCGAGACTTTGAATTTTTTTTTCTGTACATAATTGAATAGCAAACTAATGAGAAGTGATGGATAGATCAAAATCTAGGAATCTAGTGAATGGACACAGTAATTAACTTGTCTAAACGCACGGACAAAACCAGGTGAAACATAAGGCATAACATAACAAAAAAGCATCATAATCAAGGATCAATTCGAGAGGAAACAAAACCTCTTAACACCTTCAAAAGAAGTAAACAACAAAAGAAGGGAACTTACTTGTCAGGCTCGATGAAGGAAGGATAGCTATGAGGAACAATAACATGGAACTACATACATGGAAAACGAAAAGCAGTTATTAGCGAAATTTGAAACCGAAGAAGGCAAAAATCAAAAGGGGACTGAAGTAGTATGGATCCCAAACAATTCTTAAACAGAGCATGATTAAAACCACCAACCAATGGACAAAAAGGCATCATGGACAATATTTCAAAAAACTAAGCAGAAACAGAAGGACAAGTAATAAACAATTTTTACCAATTAATATAACCAATTAACTGAGAAGTAACTAAGGCAGACCAATCAAGACTAGAAATTCTAGGAACATGAACATACGAAACATTCACTCTGAAAGAATCCAGGAGCGTGGGTGAATAACAACGTCTCACCATAGTCCACAAAGAATAGGACCTAGGTAAAAAAGGGAAGAGAATGCTGCATAATGTAAAACAAAAAAATTAATAGCGCTATACACTCTGCAAGCGAACAGCTGAGATGCATCTATAGAAGGAACTTTTAACCAATTCACAATGTTAACTATTCTACGTTAGGATCAAAAGCCAGGGCAATTACGTCCAGCAATAAGCGCTGAGATGCATCAATATGTAACTGGCGAGAGCCATCCAAAGGTAACATAAAAAATAACAACATAAATGAGAAGCGCCAAAACCAAAACCAGAGAGTCAAGCACACGAACAGAGAAAGCAAAAACAAAAGCAAAAAATAAGAGCACACAAACCCAAGAAAAAGCGACATACAGGTCTTAGGCAAAAGCATTTTAAAAAAAGGCAACAATGGAAGCTGCAGACCGAGCAGGAAAGGAAAAAACATAAAGCAGTCAAAAAGAAATAAAGAGGGATAATAACCTAAAGCATTTACGAGAACAATCAGAGGCAAACGACGAATCAAGAAGGAGGCAAAAAGGAGATCTTGATTAGAAAGAAGAACCAACAGCAATGCAAAAATGTAAGTCATAGGCTGAACGTGATATAAATATAAGAGGTTGTAGGGGCAATCAGAAGAGCACAATAAAATAAAGAAATCAAAAATAATAAGAGCATGCGAGAGAAATAGAAAGTACGGAAAGAAGGAAGAAGCTCTTATCTTGTTGAAACCAAACGAAGCAAGAATAGAACAAACTGAGAAAGAACAGTACATCAACACCCCCCAATGTTGATCGAAATCAAACAAATCCAAACTGGATTCTTTTTTGCGGAAGGCGCAGAAAGCAGCCACTACGGTGTACGTCACGTAAAATCAGGAATAGCATAGATCAATCTCGTCCCAAAACACCACAATCTCCATGTCGATTCAGAGGAAGTGGTTGAACAAAGGACAACGGGAGAAACGAAAAAAACTCAGAAAAAAGAAAAGGTACAATCACATTAAATGAGCAAGTTGCAACGATGAACAAAGAAGAGAATGCGATTACAAAAAAAAACCTAGAGGAAAAAGGGGGAAAAAAGGGGAAAGAGATGGCTTTAGGGACAGAGATGTCAATGGACAAAGAACCTAAGACAAATTGGTACAAAAGCATTAAATGAGACGTCCGGTCAATCACGAAAGGATGGCCGAAGGTTGGAGCAGATAGGGAAAAAACGAAAGAGACGGCGAGGAAAACACGAAATTGGAAAGAAAGAGAGAAACGAAAACATGGAGCCTGAGGGGCAGAGATGTAAATGACCTAAAGAAACAAATGGCAAAACAGAAATAACTGAAAAGGAAGGAGGGCGAAACTGAAGAAGACCAAGAGAAACAAACAATAAGGCAGACAATACCATGGACATCAAACGGCCAATAATGATCTAACCGTAATCAAAAGCCAAAATGGAAGGAAAGATAACCAACAGTGCAACTGAGTCTTCAACAACAGTAAACATGAGTCTTGAGCAACAGTAAGTGAATAGGAAACACTTCACTTCTTTTAGTTTTTTTTTTTAAATAATAATAATAATATAATTATAATTTTCTTGTCAATTCTTATAAAAACATTTGGAGCCTATAGAATCATGTTTTTGTTTTTATTTTTATTCTGTAGCAAAAAATCTTGAAGATTGAAGGCGACTTGTTTTCCCAAGTTTTGATGGTATAATCCAAGGCAACCCAAATAAGATCCCTGTTTTCCAAGAGTAGATTATAAATTAGTAATTTTATTTTTTAAAAAAAGAAATAAATAGTCTTTTAGTTTTTATAACTTATTAATTAGTCTGTATATTTTTAAATCTATTTTTAATTTAATTTTTTTTGTTTTAATAAATAGAAAAGGAAAAAAATAAGTAAAAGATATGATAAGATTAATAAAAAAAAGATATTTTTTATAATAAAATACTACCATGTTAAAAGACTAATTAATTAATTTTTAGGACAAAAAGGACTATTTAATTCCTTAATACAAAAAATAAAAGGACTAATTTATAATAACTCCTTTTACAGTGCCAAAATATGTCTTTTCTTCTTAAAAAATATGAGTAGTTTCAAGTGTGAAGAGCCAAAATGAGAAGGAATTTGGAGCTTTATTTTAATTAAGAGCATTTTTTTGAGCTATTTACCGAATATGAAAATACACATTGAGCAACCGCACGACCGCAGCCAAAAGCGAAGCCAAGCGCAGGACCGAACCATACAGTGTTACGACATCGTTTTATAGTTAAAGATACTTGTTATAAGAAGGAAGACACGGTGTTGAAGCCTGAAGGTTCTACTCTCTCTCTTTGGCTTCTGCGCTGTGAATTTGATATGGAGTAAGAGGGAAAGAAAGAGAGAAGACTGAAGAGATGCCGAAGAGAACAACGCACACGTATTCAAGCGAGGACGCAGCTCCCGACAGACCAGACTCCGATCTCTTCGTCTACTATTGCAAGCATTGTGGCTCTCACGTCCTCATCACTGGTTCATCCCCTATCTCTCACTCACTTGCTTCCATTAAAATTTGATTATCATCTTCGATTTTCGATGTTCTTGTGATAAATTATGAATAATCAATCACTTAATTTAATTTTAATTCCTAGCTTGATTTTTTGTTTTTTTAAATACTGAAATATGTTTGTTATAAGATACGCAATTGCAGAAAATGCCGAAGAGGAAGACCGATAAAGCTTATGTGCTGGACAAGAAGAAGCATCTTGCAAGGCTCAATATGAATGAGGCTGGAAAAGTTCTTTTGAAAAGGTTTCTTTTTACTATCTTTACTTGTTTAGTAATTGGTTCTTATGCATTGCATTCTACTCCATAACTTTTTTTATTATTTTGTTTTAAAATTTTCTTGTTCTGCATAGGATGCCGCGTGGGTTAAGATTTTAACTATTAATTATCTTTGAAAGGAACGAATCCTGGGCTTTGTATTGACAAAAAAGGACTTTGGGATGTTAGTTGTTTACTGCTATCGTGGACGGAGTAAAACAGAAGGGAGTCTGACACTGACTTCTTTGTTAATGAAGTTATTCTTTGAGGTTGAAATGGAAAAACTTTTTGCTACTCAACTCTTTCTCATTCTTTGTTTGCCAAGGTGCCTTAGACCTTGTTTCTGGGTGGATATTCACATACTCGCCTGACATGCTTTGCTCCAAGAATTCACAAGTGCTCTTCTTGTTTTCCCGTGTCCTCTGTCAATTGCATCAATTGCTCTCCTGTATCGTCTTCCTGTGTCATGTGCTCGTAAACAGTCATGCTTTTGCAATCACCTTTTTTCATAAACATCATGCCTAGTCTAAGTATTCGAAAATGGTGTAGGCTGTGTCTCTATATTTGAAGTTAGAAATGCAGATAATCTTTAAAGCTATCTATCAAGATTGAAGATGTTGAAATTTGAGTTCATTCATTGCCAGTGACCTGTCGTATGATCTATTCCATGTTGTCTGTTGAACTGCTAAGGTAGTATATACTTCCAAATGTTCTTCTTCTTTAGTTATTGAGTTTACGACGCTATTTTCTTGAGATTTCAATCATAGATAGATTGTAGTTGCATTAGAGCTCATTACAATTCTGGATCATTCCTGTGTAGGGGAGAAGGGAAATTAGAGAAGCAATTTCGCATGAACTGCATAGGCTGTGGACTATTTGTTTGCTATCGAGCAGAAGAAGATCTGGAATTTGCTTCTTTTATATATGTTGTTGATGGTGCACTTAGCACAGTTGCTGCAGAAACAAATCCTCAGGTACAAATACTTCTTGTTAGGACTTGGACTAATCCACCATTCAAAGCTCATGCTTAATGAATTACGAGATGTTATCGAGTTTTCATTGAGCTTATAATTTCTTGCCTTTCTTAGTAAGTAGGCGATGTTTCTGCATAAAAATTAGATATTCTCATATGGTTTTCTGGCATATGCTGTAGGATGCTCCTGTGCCCCCTTGCATATCACAATTAGAAGGAGGACTTGTGCAGGTGGCCATAGAGGTTGAAGACCGTGCGCAAAGATCAGCAATAACAAGTAATTTGATTCTTACTGTGTTCATCTGCATATCTTTGATAGTATTTCGCTTGCATCTCCTTCTTGGCCCCAATTATAACAGACACGATTAATCCATGAAACTAGTTGTTAATGATTAATCAACTAAACTAGTTTCTGCATATCGTCCTGACGTCTGTTGTCTTGTGTGTCTGCCTGCTTTACAGGTTGGATGCAGTTGAACTAAATTCGACCTCCATACATCCCTTGGATGTTGAGTTTCATCCATGCATAGAGTGGCACACAATTTGTTTTCAATTTTGACAAACTTAAGGAGACATGCATATGTATATACAAATAGTATAAATTGCGTTTAGTAGTGAGAAGTAGTGATGGATAGAGTTGATTGTTCCATTTTAGAAACATGGAGCAAAAGGCCTCTGCTTTTGTAGTAATGGGTTTGTTTATTGAGCACTGACAGGAGCCACGGTGCTTGTGTCTTGGAAATTAGATGGTCTCTCTGAAGACAATGTGTCCAGAATTGCCTTCTCCTATTTCTAGTGAAGAAAATGGAGTGAGCTCTACGAAGGAGTTCTTAGCTGACAGAAGAATTGATAGTATCTTCCTAGCACATTACATTCCTTTAGTTACAATTGCTTCTTGGCTCTCTAAAAAGAGAGCAAATGAAGTGGGGATGCATTTTGTTGTACTCTTCTCCAGTTATGAAATGCAGTGTTTTCTCTACTGTTGTGCTGTTGTGATCCTTATATCACTTGTGATCTGACCTCATGTCCATGATCTTTTGTTCTATTGAAGAAATTCTGGACAGGCATGAATATGTGTCATGTCCATGAACAGCCATAAGCTTGAATGCATATGAAATGTAGCATCTGAACACACATATGCTACATAGAAACACATCCTTATATTTAACTTATGGTTGCATGAAAAGGATGCAGAAACTAACGAAGTTGAAGGAAAGGAACAATATAATTGTTTCATCTAGTACGTTTTGTTCATGCTATTGTTTTTTAATTTATGAACATTATGTTTGATATATTTATTACCAGGAGTGAATGCCGATGATGTTCGAGTTACTGTAGCTGCACCTGCTGCTCGTGGAGAAGCTAACAAGGAACTTTTGGAATTCATGGGCAAGGTATGCTCTTCTATTATAATTGTACTCTTTCAAGTTGTTATTAGACTATTAAAATTAGGCATAGAATCTTACATCATCAATTTGGTGTGCCAAGATTGACATGATTTGCCTTCACACAGGTGCTGGGTCTGAGACTGAGCCAGATGACTCTTCAAAGAGGATGGAATAACAAATCAAAGCTGCTTGTTGTAAGTAAAATTGAAATGTGCTTTTTCTACATAAGCTTAGGTGTGTGTTTGTACGTGTGCTTGCATCCCCTGTTAATCTGTAAAATCTCAATCAGATGGAAGTTTTGTTTGAGACCCAGCCAACTTCTATACACTGGCATATCTGTTGTAGAACTTGTTATGTGGAAAATTATGCTTCTGATACTGCTTAGACCATTAATTCTCTACTTTGGATATTGAGTTTTTGTTGATTTCCAGCATATATGAAATAGAACTAGTAATACAAGTTTGATATAATTGACAAAACGTGGAAGTTTCTTTTTGTTCAAATGAACTGATTTCAATGTAATTCATCTTGGTCGGTTGGCGATGACCATTCAATCCTATGTAGACCAAATTAATCTATAGTCTCTAGAGATGACTGTAAAAAAGAGAGGAATTCTAGGAATTTTGTCTGGCAACTACCTTAATTTTTTTCCAAATTGTCAATAAGTGGCCATTTTCAGAAAGCATTTACGTATCCATGATTCTTCTCTTAGAAGTTTGTTTCCAGTTATATTCATCATTCTGCTCCTAGAAGTTTGTTTCCGGTTATATTCACTTTCTCTTCTTTGTTCAGGTGGAGGATCTGTCTGCCAGACAGGTGTACGAGAAACTACTGGAAGCAGTACAACCTTGAAGCCGCTGTATTTTAATTTCAGCACATCTTGGATGTGAATGATTTCAGCAATTTCTTTTTGTGTCGGATTAATTTACTTGCGATCAATTCAAATGTAAAATTTGTAATTTGAACTTGAATAATGGAGATAGAGCTCATCCTCAGCTGTAGTTGTATCATTGCCTAAAAGACTGGGCCAACTTTCAATTGAATTGATCTTGGCAATCACGTTCACATGAATTTTCACCATGAAGGCGCAAGAATTATAGGATTATCGTCTCCAAATCTTCCTCCTCATGAGCTTACCTCGATAGCATGAATAACAGGATAATGACGTCATACCGTAAGATGGCATTGTGAAGCTGAACTAAGCAGAACAAGAGGCCTTAGCCATTTGATAAAATCCATGTTCTGATGAGAATTTTTGCATCAACACAAACAAAGCATTCAACTCGCTTTGGTTAGCTTTAGATGGAACAATGAATGTCCTAACTAGTTTGGAGAAATTTTTCCCTGTATCATGGCAGCAGCGGCTATCTAGAAGAGTTGGTTGGCAGAAAAGTAAAATTTGCTAACTCAAAGTTGAATCACAAATGAAAGGCTATCTTAGATTATGCTTGGTTGACTTTGTAAATTGATTAAAATTGTTTTTTAATTTTTAATTCAAAAAAAAAAATCACAATTATGTTATATTAGAAATAACTTTTAACTTAAATAAAAAACTTGTAACAAAAGCAAAGTAAAAATTTTGCTTTAATAAATAATTGAAATTTAACCGTTAATTTAAATATTCTGCCATCTACTTACCACCTTCATTCTTCAAAAAAAAAAAAAAAAAAAAAAAAAAAAAATTGATTTGAGTATTTTCCACAAACCATACTTCTAGTTTTTTTTCATTTCAATTCGTTTTTATCTTTAAGTTATTTATGGCAAACAACTTTTAAGTTAAAATCAAGAACTCTAATTTAAAGGTTTGATATTTGACAAGCAAAACAACTCACCAACCAGCATTGGTTAATGAGACATACTGCCTCAGTATCTGCGCCATGCAGCAGCAAAAATATCGTTTCCACAAAACGTATATTTTCATTCCCAGCAAGATCACAAAAACAAAATATAACTTCAAAAAGCCAAGTAGAAAGCACAATTTTTTTTTACGAGAAAGATAAGTGATTTCACCACCAAACATCAAATTCCATTTAAGGTCTTTGGGATTCATGATTGGTCCCAATCACCAACATTTGGTAATGAAGTTAATAGTAACATTCTAAGCAAATCATATATAAGCTCCAGAAATAAATCTTAGCAAATGATATCACAGTTTGATAGATTACTTCAACAGAATAAAAAAAACAAAAATGTTCCCGTGGTGCTTTCATCCAGGATCTGCCCGATGCTTTTCAGGAGGAAGCTCCACCACAAAGAGCACCCTTAATTAAGACTTCCTAGGAGCAATCTGAGTATCAGCCTGGAAAAAAAGATATTCCAGGTAAGGCGCAACATCACAGAAACAAACAAAAAATACAACAATACTGAAGCAAACACGTCAATCTAAAATTTTAAATCAACTATGATACAATGGATTCATCATTTTTCAGAGTGTTACCTCTTTCTTGACAGGTTCTTCCTTTTCCGACAAAATTAACTCAATGTGACATGGTGATGACATGTAAGCTGCCAGAGCAATCATACATCACTATTGTGCACGTCCAAATAGAGAAGACAAGCAGATTGAAAGAAAAAAAAAAAAAAAACTGAATTTAATGACTAAAGGAATGGACTCACGATTGATCCTTCCATGGGCACGATAAGTACGACGACGCTGTTTTTGTGCTTGATTGACTTGGATATGTGATATGTAAAGTGCATCAACATCCAAACCTTTCACCTAAATAATGAGTTGATAAAATTTAAAAACATTAGGGGGAAATCCATGAGATCAAGGAAGCAAACATCAGAGGGAAAAAAAACCAAAAAAATAAAAAATAAAAACAGGAAAAGTAACCACCTCAGCATTGCTTTCGGCATTCTTCAGCAAATCAAGGATAAATTTAGCAGATTTAACAGGCCAGCGCCCTTGTCCATTTGAGTGGCGGTTCTTAGCTTGAGCAGTTCGCCCAACCCCACCGCAGAAGCGTCTGAATGGAATAGCTTGCTTGTGTGCCAAAACATCCTCCAAGTACCGTTTAGCCTTGTCCAAAGGCATCTTCCGGATTGAAAAAGCAGTCTCTCTTGTGTTCTGACATAGAAAATAACAATATAGGAGTCAGCACAGCCAATTTGGCAATTTCAACAGAGTAAAAGCCATACTGCCACTTCATATAGGTTTGAGACTCAAATATGCAATAAAAGCAAAACTTCAACCACACGAACCAAACTCATCACAACCAAAATTCAAATGCTTAAATATCACATCTACAAGCAGCATATCATCCTATCTTTGTCGCTAAATAATTCTGTGGCAGTAATCAGGGCCAATAAGAGCTCTTAATCTTGTCTCAAATGAAAAAGTAACCCTGGTTATGAGTGCAGAGAGGATCACGCATTGTAAGGCACCATTTTTTTTTTTTTTATATGTTTAAAAAAGAGAGAGGCTCAACTAATACACACAAGCTCAATTCAGGAAACTAAACAAGATTGAATAACCCATTAGTGATATCATTCTCATCCACATTTGAGCAATCCATCAAAAGCTTCAAAGATAATGAACCATTGCAGTAAATAAACCAAACAGAGAAAGGGAAAAGCATGCATCCTGAAGCTAGTGAGAAGTCCATTCACAGCACTCAATAGATTTCTATAACCAACCCCCCATCCCAGTCCTCCTCCTGACTAAGAAATGAAACTTAAAGTGAGAATAAGCAATAAAAAATTGACAAGCATTGCATGTCAATCTTTATTTATAAAAGATCTTAATCCCATATGTAAAATTTTACTAAGCCCAAATTCACGATGAAGGAATGTCAATTGAGCAGTGCAAGAATAATTTACATGAAAAATTTTTTTTAAAGTTCTTATTGGTCACCAAAGAAAATGGAAACAACCATTCAGATGATGGATGGAAATCAGTTTGGCATATCACAAAGATTTCAACCATTCACACTGAATATTTTAAATTGTAGCAGCCATCTGCTTCGATTTAAACATTTACATCGCTTTCAGCAAAACAATTTTGCCAATAAAAGAAAAGAATGATGTAGCTATTCATACCAATGAACGGAGACAACAAATTCAAAGAGCAGCAGTATGCTTACTTATGAAAAACTAACAGAAAACATCAAACCATCAGCAGAATGATTTTTCAGTTCCAAAAAAAAAAAAAAAAAAAGGAATAACGGGAAGCCATTCGCCCTAATATACTAGAGACAACAAACAGCTAAAACTACCATCAATTAAACACAACAAAATCAGCAACACCACACAATTCAACAGCCAAAACTTTGAAGCAACGTTGAACATACAACACACCTTAAAGTGAACACGGAGATCAGATCCCCTAGCTTTGCATGCTGAAAGTGTAACCATAATATTGACATCAGATTTCAGTTTCTCAACAAAATCACCATTAAAGGAAAAAAAAAAAGGAATGAAACTTGCATGTACTTACACTTGGTTTGGTTATCTGGTTCTCTTGAATACTTCACCTGAAAAGTTTAACAAAACAGATCCAATAAGAAATCAAAAAACAAAAACACAAAAACCCACAAAGATCGATACTTCTTCCGCTAATTCTAAGAGAAAAATCTTCTTTGTGCTGTCCCACGAGGAATCAGAACCCAAAACCCCTACAAAGACCTGAGCTTTTAAGCTACTATTAGAAGAAAGATTCTTCCTTTCTTCTTCAAAATTTATGAAAAATGCTAAGTTAATCAAACCCACCATTGCTGCAGCTTCGGTCTATCGTTCTGTGGCCACCAAGAGAGAAATGCTGCAGTAATAAGATACAAAGACTGTGTTTTACCTAAAAACCCTAATAAAAGGGGGCTAGGATTTCTCTTATTTGGGCCTTTTCAAATAAGAATTGAGCCCAATTTATTGGGTCTGTGTAATATAATTTGGCCCATCAGCAATACCGTTTAAAACAAGGTTATTTACGTCCTTTTATTTCCACAAAACAAACAAGCACAAAATTGGAAGAGGAAACTGAAAGGAAACCAGAGTTTGGCTCTCAAAAGATTCAGAGAATTTGAAACTTTGACACTGAAAAAAAAAAAAAAGGCTGAAGCACTATTTCCCTGCAAAGCCTCCCTATTTTATTCGTGTAAGCTTCTCTTTCTTATTTACTCTTACGACATCCATATATCTATAACTTTTTTTTAATTGAGATTTACACATTGCCTAGCTATTGTCTTGGAAGAAAATCAGAATCACTAGACAGCAAAGTTATGAACTTCGTTTTTCTTTAATTATGTTTTAGTCAGAGATTTATTTGGTTTTTGTTTATTTTAAAGTTTGTGAGCTAGATTCGGGGTTTGATTGTGTAGCTAGGGTTTTGAACTTTGGTTCAAAGGAAGGTAATTTCAATGTTTAAGATTGTTTTTACACTTTAAAAAGGCGTGGAATTTGGTGTTGTTTTTGGAAACCCAGAAATTGAATTTTGTGTTATTAGGGCTTATGAGGTTTGGCTGGGGTTTTGTTGTTGTTGGATGTAGAATTGTTTAGTTTTGAGAGATATTGTAGCTGTGTGAGATTGGGGTTTCAATGAATAATAATAGTAATAATCCTAGTAGAAGTATCGGGGTTCCACCCTCATTTGTAAATTCAGGTTCAATGACACAATCTATGCACATTAACCACCAACCACCACAGTTGCTCTCGCATTCACAGCCTCAAACCCAAGGGGTGCCTGCGTTTCCTGGCCACTTTCAGCTGTCTGAACCGCAAGCTCAGGTGCTAGGACATGTTCAGTATGCGCAGGCAGCTCATGCTCGCTTTCAATCTCAGATACAATCGGCTAACCAATCCGTTGCTCAGTTGCAAAATGCTAATTCTAGTAATGTTGGTGTGCAATCGCCCCCTGTACCCACCCCCAGCAGTACTAGTGCTAAAAAGGCTAGCCATAAACCGCCTTCAAGGCCTTCGGGTGGTTCATCAAATGCCAACATGGCTTCGCTGTTCAAGACTATGGAGTTGGCTCCAGCTGTTCGCCGGAAGAAAAGGAAGCTTCATGAAAAGGAGATACCTGATAAAGTGGCAGCTGTTTTGCCAGAGTCTGCTCTTTATACTCAGCTGCTTGAATTTGAGGCTAGAGTGGATGCTGCTATGGCAAGAAAGAAGATGGATATTCAAGAGTCACTTAAAAACCCTCCCCGTGTTCGGAAAACACTTCGAGTATATGTATTTAACAATTTTGAAAATCAGGTGCAAGGGCCTAATGAGAGGAAGAATGCTGAGCCTCCTTCTTGGTCGTTAAAGATTATTGGGAGGATATTAGAAGATGGGAAAGACCCTGTGCTGACTGGAATGGCCCCGAAACCACATCCAAAATTCTCATCTTACTTCAAGAAAATTACAATATACTTGGACCAGAGCCTCTATCCAGATAACCATGTGATTTTGTGGGAAAGCACACGGTCACCTGTTCTTCATGAGGGCTTTGAGGTGAAGAGAAAAGGAAATAAGGAATTTACTGCAAGAATTAGGCTAGAAATGAACTATGTGCCTGAGAAATTCAAGCTTTCACCTGCTCTATCAGAAGTCCTTGGAATTGAGGTAGAGACTCGCCCTAGAATTTTGGTGGCAATTTGGAATTATGTGAATTCTAGGAAGTTGCAGAACCCAAATGATCCCTCCTTCTTCACATGTGACCCCCTCTTCAGAAAGTATTTGGGGAAGACAAGATGAAATTTTCTATGGTTTCACAGAAGATAAGTCTGCATTTAACTCCTCCACAGCCTATTCATTTGGAACATAAGATCAAGCTCTCAGGGAATTGCCCAGCTGGGACTACTTGCTATGATTTCATAGTTGATGTTCCTTCACCATTACAAAAGGACCTTGCTGCATACTTGACCAGCACTGAGAGGAACAAAGAAATTGATGCTTGTGATGAATTAATATGTAACTCTATAAAGAAGATACACGAGCATCGTCGGAGGCGGGCTTTCTTCCTTGGTTTAAGTCAGTCTCCAGCAGAATTTATTAATGCTTTAATTGCTTCTCAAAGCAAAGATCTGAAGGTTGTTGCTGGAGATGCTAGCCACAATGCAGAAAAAGAGCAGCGATCTGGTTTCTATAATCAGCCATGGTAAGCTTTCCAGTGTTCTTACCTTTGGTTTTAATCTTTTATGATGCATTATGAACTACTTGTATCTTCAAAGTTTACTTTTTTAGCCTTTGAAGCCTGCCAAGTGGCTTCGTTTGGCTCATGCAAAATGAAGAAGACTAGATTAAATCAGCTTTTATTAATGGTATTTGTTCTTTTTTTTTTTTTTTTGGGTATAGGGTTGAAGATGCTGTTATTCGTTACCTAAATCGCAAGTCTATGGGAAGTGATGCTCCTGGAAGCTCTTGAATAAAGGATTGTCAGATTGTCAAAAAGGTGGTATGGAGTTCAATTGTTGTAATCCCATTTTGGTCTCTGGTCCTTTTTTGTTCTCTTCCATTGATTTAGTTTGACTTCTGCAGTTACATAGAGGAGTTTTAGATCCTAATTATTAGTTGCCTTATGATGGTAATTCATAGTCAGGTTGTAGTTCCCATAGTGGCATTATGCTTCATGAAGAAAGACATGATTTCTTGTTACCTAATATTCATAAATGCTGAAAGCTTGGAATGGGTGACTTCTGTTGTTATTTGGCATTGTTCACAGCATATTTACTGCATTCATTTATGGATACCAGGATGCATTTCATTTAGCTTTTTACCATCCTGAACTCTCCTTTTTTAATTTTCTTAGGCATGTTTGCAAAAAAATTACCACCAACTTTTCCTCTCACAATCACAATTTTGGCCTATCCCTTGTCTCAAGACAGAGTTAGTTTGAACCACACTCCTGTTTCAATTGTTGGTGCTGTTGTGCTTAGCTGAATTATTTAACCCAGTTGTTGGTAATTGTAATTTTGCACGATTCAATTTACTTCTGCTTCAGTCGTTGCACTGGCTTTGTCACATGTCCTTGACTTCTCTGGAATTAGTCATTTAGTTGCCCTCCACACCAGGACTATTTCCCCATTCTGTTACTTAGCAGTAATCAAAAGAAAACTTGCCTTTTGTCCTTTCCCTGTTAAAAAGAACTGGTAACTTCATCTGTATCTCTTTGAAATGGCTTCTTATTTATTTATTTCGCTTGTGTGACTTAAATTTGTTATATGCTTATAGTTTGAGCCCTACCAGCTACCTATAATTTCCGTCTGTTTAGAAGGTCTTTCATGTGAGCATAGAAAACAAATGCCGGATTGACTTTTGTGGAGTGAATGATGGAACAAAGGAACTAACCTATGAGACCAATCACATTGCATGAAATATCCTGCAGAAATCAGAGTAGATATATGCAACATTCTAAATGGGATGGCATGAGATGCATAAAAGCAGTAGAAGAGCTTCGTTGCCAAGCCATTATGAAGCAAGCAACAGATGTGAGAAATATTTTGGTCAGAGCATCCTTTCTCATGTGAGAAATATTAGAGTTTTCTAGTACAGATGTAATTATCACGTTAAAATCGCTCTAATTATATTGCTGTTGATTTTGTAAGCTCAAATTGAGGCTCTTTGCATCTTCTTAGATAATCCTTGGAGACCATTAGAAAGGAGTACCATAATATCAGGTTGTTCATTGGACTAGCCCCCAGCTAAAGTTAGATTAGACTAATCATTCCCGTCACCCTCGAATCCTTGGAGACCATTAGAAAGGCGACTGTTGGAACTAACCCTGGATCATGCAAGGGTTCAACCACTCGGACCAACCCCTGGGTTGACTTGGGGTCGGTTTAAATCAATGTAATTAATTTAGCATTGTCAGATGGCCTTTTCAGCTTCCAAGACATTGGTTCAGATGGTAAAGGGAAAGTGAAGATTCATTTGGTCTGAAATTTCAAGTTCGAGCCTTACCAATAATTTCTTTTGAAAAAAAAATGATATATGTAGACCCGATTAGTTTTATTTATGGAGATTGGTTTGATATAAATAAGATTAAGATAGAAGTCCCTCTATATATATATAAAAGCAATGTTTTGTTTTATGGGATGTACGATAAACTGGTCAATACACCCTGTTTATTAAACAACAAAGGCTGATTTAGGTGGGTTCTTAATGCAGACGGGGCTCTAGTTATCGTTTTGGATAGAGACCGGGGCTACATGGTTAGCTTTTCTGTATAGTAACTAGGTCCTACTCTTCATCAGAACCCACATGGGGATTGAATTGATTTCTCGTAGAAAACTGCGCATGAAGACAAGACAAAGGCAACTTGAAACTACAAGACACGAGTTAACTCATCCACATGCACATGCCCTATTGCCCCCATTCATTTAGCAATGTCTATCTATCATGTTGGAGCCCTGTATCTCTCCTTCATAGATCCCACATGGGCATGGAAGCTTTCTAATTAGCTCTTTCATGCTTGCTCAACAGGAGCATTCATGCGAGGGTTTTCTTTGCCTGTTTTTAGCTTTTTATTTTTGTTTGTCTTTTTTTTTTTTAGTATTATAAATATTCTCGTATCAATTTTCCGTATACTTTAAGACTAATATTTTCTTAATTGTGGATAAAGAATATTTTTTACCCACAAAAAGCAAACTCTGATTTTTGAATATTCGATTTTCAATATTTTGAGAATGGAACAAAAATCAAACTCTGATCCGAATTTGCTTGTGGTTTTTGTTTGCCTTCTTTGGTCACAACCTACAACACAAAAAGTATGAGTTGTCATACATGACTGCGATGAATATCTGATTTTTCCTGTTCCTATATTTCTACTTATAATTTTTTTCCCCAAACGATGAATAGTCAATTCTGCCTAAGTGATTCCTAACCACTAAACCTGATAGTGACAGCAGAATCTCTGTCTACAACAGTATCATTTTACATGCATTATATATTTACAACAATTACCCTGTTTTTACTATGCCTACTTTTTTTCTTTTTTTTTTTATCTCAATCAAATTTTGGACTTCAATTTTCTATTTTTTTTTCCCTTGAATACATCTTTGTTTTCAAAATTTTCAATTGATTTTAACCAAAGGAAAAGATTATATTGTTGATGCACCAACTTTCTCTTTTTTTTTTATTAATATATAGATTTACAATTTTTTTAGTACAAAGATCTTTTCGATTGTGCTAATTAAGTATTTTCTTTGAAAAAATAAATGTTTTCTGATGAAATGGAAGTAGCTTTTGACCAGCTAACTTCAAATTTGGGATACTGTTTCTATGGAAAAAGTTTCCTCCAAAATAACATGTTGCTTGCTTAATTAATAAATCTAAATCAAAATAGGTCGATTGCACTCCTTTTTTTTTTCCTTCTCAAAGTGATAGTTTTCTTTAATTTTTCACGCATTTTAAAAAACTTATTCATTTGTATTTTTAACAATACTTTTCTAAAATATGATTTTTTGTTTAAGGAAAAAAATTATCCAATTTAATTCTGAATTAAAAAATAGAGGAATTTTCTTTGGGACGTAGTAAGTATTTAATTAAAAAAATAAAATAAATCCATTTATTTTGCAATCTCATGATAGCCATTTATGCGGTTAAAATAACAAATGTTTTAATTTTACAAGTAATTGATTTATTAGTTTTAACTAATCATGGACTTGTTTTTAGTCTTGGTGTAGATAATTTGTATTTAATTAAAACATATTATTATTATTATTTCATCACTTCTCTATTTTTACCACCACTACGACCATTTTTATTATGCCACCATCACCACCTCCACCGATGATAGTGATAAAAAAAAAAAAAAAAAACATATTATTATTATTATTATTTTATCATCATTTCTCTTCCATTACCGCCATCACTTTTATTATACCACTATTTCTTATGATAGTGGCATCAATTTAATATATATATATATATACATACTACTACTGTAACAACCACTACTACTATCACCTCCCCTTCTACTCCATCACCATCATTGCTACAATAATCTTTATCAATTTTACAAATATCATAATTGATAAAATTATTATTTTTGTTCATCTTAAAAACTAGATCTTAAAAAAAAAAAAACTTAAGTTTCATTTTAATTCTTTATTATTATTTCAAACACAACATAAGAATATAAATGTCATTTAAATTCTCTAATTTTTATTTCAATTTCTGCATTTTCATTCTAAATTTTTCAGTTTTGGTATCTAAATGACACCTAATCACTTCAAAATGGATTACAAAGATGTCATGCGATCATAAAATAATAAAGAAAACAATCCTTTTAAATGAGTTTTCTTTTTAAAGGATTTAATTTAATTAATTTTTTGTTCGTTAAATACATTGTAATTTTGGAGGGAAATGTTTCTGAAAAAGCCCCACATTTTATGACAATACCTGATTGGCACAATTGGTAAAGTCGGAGTACCCAAAAAAAATAAATTAAAGTTAATGTATTTAATTGAGAAAAAATAAAAGTTGTAGGGTTAACAATATTATTTTCCTTGACGTTGGTTGAAAATTTAGTAATTGATAGAAATTGGAAAAAAGTTCTAGTTAAAAATGGAAAGGTCTAAGGACACATTGGTTGAAAATGAATTAATCGATTGAAATTGGAAAAAAAATACTGGTTAAAAATGGAACAATTCACAGAAGTTAGAAATAAGTAATAATTGATTATAGATGTTGAAAAATCCATATACTGAATCGAGAAAGGCAAAAACTGGTGTAACATTAACCTCATTCGCTGTTTAGGTACCCAGCAATGCATCTATCCAAAAATAAAATTATAACTATTTATACATTATAATTTGGGTACTCAAATGTTCTTTTTCCTCTTATTCAAAATTTCCCAAAAAAATTTAGGTAATTCCCTGGCCCATTAATTAATACTAAAATTAAAGATCAATATACTTATTTATTTTTATATAGTGCATTCAAAGTTTTTTTATATATATGTTTTTAGATTTTTAATTATATCTCATGTGTCTCTAAAAATATTTAAAATATTTAATTTGTCATTTCGATTAATTTATTTTTTTAATCGAAATATCCCTTATTGAAATGCAAAAAATAAATAAATTAAATTTTAAAGACTTTGAAAAATAGAATGTAAAGGTAACGTGACTTATAAGCACAAATTAATTATAAAGGCAATGTCATCTTCATTTCTCAAATATGACCATTATCATTAATTCCTTCTCTGGACCATAACCTTCAACCCACCAACCATATGAGCCGTCAATAGAGGAACAAAAACCGGTTGGTCATGGCAAACCGGTTTGATCTCGAACCGTCTCAATATGGAAGCCACCACATACTTCATCTGCATAAAAGCCATCTCCTTGCCTAGGCACACCCTTGGACCGGCTTGAAATACTGGAAACTTATATGGACTCACCGATTTCAATGTCTCATCCC